GGTAGGCAGTGGTGGGAGGAGTGCATGTAGTTGACAGGATTAACCGATAAACCCAGGCTTATCAGTTAATCGTTTAGTCATCTACATGCTGACATCCCTAGTGTCAGGTAGCCTGGAGCCTGACCCCACAGACTCCCTTCAGTTCGACAGCCTGAAGCCTAATCCCTGTATATCCTCCTTCCCTCACGTTGCTGCACATTCCCATTTCTCCTCCCTACCCCTCTGAGCTCTAGTGAGTCTCACGAGGCAAGAGAATGAGTCAGGTGGAAATTGCAGCCACAGTTTCATGCCAGCTGCCCACAAGTTGGGGAAAGGAACACATCACTGGGTGTCCTTCCCTGTTTTCCGATATGTCTGAAATAACGCACAAAACAGGAAGGATGGAAGTTAGAGAGGAAGCTGCTGCTGAGAATCCACTTCAGCAGCTGCTAAAGTAAAGGAGGGATTGGGTTGGATGGTGTATAGTTTGTTTTTTTTCAAGACACTGTTGTGCAAGTGTGATTCAGAAGGATGCAGCTAAGGCCTTGCAATTTAAGCCTCGCACCCCCTCCCCACCCATGGTAGAGAGAGATGTCTGTTCACAGATGTTTGGCAGTGAATCCAAAAAGAATGCAGTCAGTCTGTTGAAGGAATGAGCTTTCCATGCACCAAGCCCGAGTAAACTCATAAAACAGCTTTCATTTTTGGAGATCTGTTCCTGGATGACTGAGTAGATCAGGCTCTCTCCAACTGGCTACTGTAGGCCCCTACATTGGGACCTACGCGACCAACCTTGGGATCTTGCTGGGAATTGGAAGGGAACAATAAATGTGCATGAAATGGACCAGATTGAAGCTGCTCTTGGGACTTGGGAAATTGGGAACTGTCCCATTGAAAGCAGTAGAGTAGGACAGATGCAAAACTGGCATTGGTGATGGAAGAATCAGGCCCCTTCAAATGATATGGCAGAGCAGCCTGTGGGAGCTGCAGTCACGCCCCCCAGAGGTAGCCTGTGATGGGAATGTGTCTGGCTCTCACTGCCCTGTGCAAATCTCTTTTTCAGATAATAGACAGTGAGAATGAAGCGCTGCTGGCAGCCCTCACCGAAACACTGGATGAAATACAGGAAGATGACATGGGCCTGGCTGCCTTCCGAGCTATGGAAGAAAGGGACGTGCCCAACCACATCTGTGCCTCGCCAGCCCCCTCCCCCAAACCAGTCGCCCCCACCCCGGGGGGGCCGCCTTTGGCCCCCGAGGTTGATGAGCTGTCTCTAGTAAGAACTCACTTCCTACTGTTTAAGGTGGATTTGGATGAACCTCTGATAAGCCGACTGCATGGGTATGATAGGAAGCAAAGGTCTGAATCTTTTCATTATAGGCTTAAAACTCTTACCGGTCGATACAAAGCATATACCTGTATTGTATACGTATACATGTGCCATGCCATTGCTGTCACCTCCATCGCCATCCTCATGGGAACAAGCTCATTGCTGCTTGAGCAGAGGGCACTGGATGTGAGCAGAGATGGGGCATAACCTATTTTCCAGCCCCCTCAACCCAGGGAGGATTTGTCCTGGGGCCTCACGTTATCTGAGCCCCAGCACAGCTGGGCTAAGGGGGTCTCAAGTTGTGGCCCATTTCTGTTTTCTCTCCCTACCCCAGAGCTTCCCATCATTCAGCTACCTCTCATCAGAGCACTTGGGGGCAATACACAGCCGTTTTCCCTGATGCCCTAATCTCCACCCAGGGGATTGGCCTTTCTCTTTCATTTTCTGGCTGTGAGTTCAGGGGCCACTGCTCCTCAGCTTCCTTTAGTCTTGTGCTGGAGACCCAGCTTGGTTGTAACCCTAGCCCTTGCCCCTCGTCTGTGGCCTCAGTTGGAGAATCTTCCACCTAGTTAGTTACCTGCGAGAGAGTGGGGAAGAGGCATGTAGCTGTTATCACCCCTTCAGTTCTCCCCACAAAAAGAGCAACTCCTCTTTTCTCTCCCACCCAGAGCAGCATGTGTTCTGAGCTTGGCCTGGGAACCACATAGCCCACAGACCCCATGCCCATTAGGTGAGCCCTTGGATGTCCCTGCCCTGAGTGAAGCCTCTCTTTGGCTTTGTGAGGTACTGGGTTCCAATTCTATCTCCGCCTCCTGCCCGAGCAGTAGGGCCACTGCATTCCTACCAGGTGGTACGAAGTTTGCTGGGCTAAAGCGCATCCCTATAATGGAGCTGCACCTGTAGCTCATTCACCAGCTAGATCGATCCTTCCATGAGGAGAGACGACACCCCACCACCACCACCTCTCTGCCCTGTAGACTGAAAGGCATGGTTTATAAAAGTGCATTGCGGCATCTAGTGGTGAAAGTGTGCATTTCCACTTCACAACAAAGTGCATGTGTGTGGGTGTATATATCACACACAGGCTATGTCTACACTATATCAGGTTATTTCAAAAGAAGTTATTTCCAAATAACTCCCAAAATAACTATTTCAAAATAGTGTGTCCACGCTACAGGGAAGCCTAGAAATTAGTCTGAGGCAGGCTGCCTTAATGTGGACTCACTACCAAGGCTTAGAACCCCAGGAAGCACTGGGGAGTAATTCCTTTGAATGACTCGAGAGAGTAGTTATTTTGAAATAACAGAAGCTGAGCATCCACACTAACCCTGTTTCGAAATATCAATTATTTTGAGATAACAAGCGCATTATTTTAAAATAATTTTGAAATAACAGGCTTGCTGTGTGGATGCTCACCTTGTTATTTCGAAATAACAGGAGTGTAGACATGCCCTCCATGTGTATGTGAATATATCGGATGTATACGTTGCAGGGGGAAAGCACTTGTACTTATTATAAATGGGAAGTGCACCATTAAGCCACTGGGCACCCCTGTTAAAATTTCACTGCAGAACCCCACAGAGATCACAGAAGCCCTGTTATATGAACTTCCCACTTCAATAACCATTGTTGTGGATCTGGACTTAAAGGGGGGTCTCTCAACTTGCAGGCTACCATCTTTGAAGATCAAGCCTGAGCTATTGCACTTTGTATGTTACCACAGAGCCTAAGCAGTCGCCTTGCTATTGATCCAGGCTTCAGCACCAGCGTGATGCGTATGGATTGTGGCATGTTTAATTTTAAAAAAAATATACTAAGCCTGTGATTGGAGATGAATATGCCTTGAGACTGTGTAACCTATGGAAATTCCAGCCCAGCTGTTGTCACCAGACCTTCTTGATGGGATTACAGGGTCCTTGTGTGTGGGAGTCCCAGTAAATACTTGGCACTTACACAGAGCTTTATATCTTCAAAACACTTTGCAAGCTAATTGATTAATCCAAGCCCCTTTGGAGCCTTCCTGCCAAATAATCCTTGCACAGGGACTTGTGTGAGCTGCTCAACTCACATGCATATGTAGAACTGAAATTGCCATCTGATAAGGACAAAACTGATTTGGGGGTTATTTTAATGCCGTGGCAATCCTAGTTACTTTAATAGGAGATGTCATGGTGTGTGGTGTGGGGGCAGCAAATTCATCTCTAGGTATCCTTTTCCCCATCTTGCATAGCTACAGGAGTGTTCCAAGGAGTGACGTCAGTGCTTGTAAAGTGTTTCGAAGACATAAAGCACTGGAGTGCTAAGTGATGCATTATAACTGCCCCACCCACAGGCTAGAACATTCTTTATCTGCAGGCAAGTAGCTTGCAGAGAGGAGTAAAATTTTTCCCTGGTTGATTCATGATCCTTACAGCTGACAGCCCAGGACAGAGCCAAGAGTTTGTAGCTCTTGACTTCAGTGATGGGAGATTTGTGAACCCATCTCACAGGTGGGCAGTAGAGGCTAGCACGTGCTAGGTCACTGTTCACACTGGAATTCCCATTCTTTTTCTCAACATTTCTCTTTTTTTAGCTGAAGAAGTTGCTTCTTTCTCCGTCCCCTGTGCCTCCAAGCTGTGAGGCTCAGAGAGAAGGGAATGCACGGCGCCAGGGGCCCCCAAAATCCAGACCCCAGCGACCCTACACAAAGGTATTTCCCATCCTAGGTGCCGTGGCCCCAACCCAGCAGGGAATGCTAAGGAGGCCCTTGCCTGCCCATTTCCTTGTGTCCAACCTCAAGAACAGCATTCAGAAAAACAGCCAGCCAAATGATGGTTCCATTGGGACATAAACAGCTGCTAAGTGAAGCTACTGGGGGTGGATGAGTTCTGGGGATGAAGCTGGCAGAAAACAGACTTGGCCTAACATAATCGGAAGGGGAAGTGCTGTGGCATGGGGAAATAGGCTGCTTTGGTAGTCTGTCAAACCCCCAAGGAGTCCTAGGGAGATTCTCACTATCCTATCTGTGCATTTGGAGCAGTTTGTCTTCAGGGGGGCTGAGGGTGAAGTCAGTTCCTTGGAGTTAGGATTTATAAAGTCCCCCTTCCCAATAAATTATAGTAGAACTTGCTTGAGTTGACTTAGCCTGGGGAGAGCTGTGTGCAAAATTGCAGAGCCCAAGCCAGTCATTCACGCTAATCCCCTGAAATCCAACACAAGTCACCATCAAAGATTTTCCACGGGAATAATGGAAATTGTGCAGTGCATTAGATATGCAGACTTAGATTGCCTGGGAAAGGCACGACATTCTGACAGGGGATGGGGGCGGGGGAGCATGGTTTCATACCAGCTGCAATGGAGGAAAGGCTGTTCTAAAAAGAAAGCACTGATATTGCCACAGACATGGGCTAGAGAGAGATCAGCTGTGTCTGATGGAATCCATGTAACTGCCTCTATGTAACCTGCCTATCTAGCAGGCCTATCTAATAGATTTCCATAGTACCCACACTGTTTCCTGTGACACGATTGAAGGGTAAGAAATGACTACTCAGAGGCCCAACCAGAGCAACATGTGAACATGTTACTGGGGCTCAGAGAGACAAGGGGGGGTGGGGAAAAACTTTTATCAGACCAACAGCGGTAGGTGAGAGAGATGCTTTTGAGCCTCACAGAGCTCTGCCTCTGCATTAGAAGATACTACCTCGCCCACTTTGTGTCCCATCCTGAGACTGACACAGCTGCAGCTCCACTGAAGACTTTGTTGAGCTAAGTCACTCTCTTGTCCTGCAGTTGAGCTGAGTCAGTCATAAGAGATGCTAGAGACCCCTCAGGAGCCTTTGGGATTCAGCTGCCACCCTACCCCTGCTGCAGGGTACGGGAAATCTGGAGAGCTTAAATGGTTCGGGATATAGGCTCTGTAGGTAGCTGATGCAAATTGAGCCCAAGTCTGTTGCAACCAAAAGGCAGTTCCTTTTGCAGCCTCTTAGGCAGCTTGAATAAACAAATTTTGAAGCCAGATACTCAGTCTGTTCAGATCGCAGAGACACCGTGACAGTGATGGGCACCTCTGTTGGAAGCACAAATGGAAAAGTCAAGCACAGAAGGGCTCTGAAGATGGAGGCCCCTTGTCATAGAGAGGCATACTAACCAGAAGTAGGGATGTCAATGAACAGTTGTTGAGACGATTAACCAATAAGCTTAGGCTTATCAGTTAACCTTGTTGACTGCTTGCTTCCCCTCCTTGCTGCCTCTGTATCAGGCAGCAAGTGGATGGGGAAGCAGGAGCTAGTGCTGCGGGGAGCCAGCTTAAAAGGCCAGCCCGGGCTCCTCCTCCTCCTCCCCGCCCCCTCCACCTCCGGACCACTACCTAACCCTGCCTCCCGCCCCCAGGGTTGACAGATGGTTTCAACAAAAATACCAGACGTATTTGATATTACATCACAATCTACATTACATCTTATTTAGAAAATACTGGACATTTATATTTTATCAGTTTGCTTCCTGAACAGAAAGCTCAAATACTGGATTGTCCGGTTCAAAACTGGACACCTGGCAACCCCCCCCCCCCCCCCCCCCCGGAAAAAAAAAAACAGGGAAAAAATTCTGTTGAGAAAAAAAAAGGAAGAGACCAAAGTTGTTAAGCAAAAAAACCCAGAAATGTGTGGAAGTGCAGGGTCTGGCCATGAGAGGGATGGGGGCACTTGCTTTATTTCATGCTGCATGTTGCTCCAATGGGGAACCTGCTTCCAGCCCTGCTTCTACCTCCAGGTCCGGGGCCCCGTTGCTCCATGACCTAGCAGGGAACCGCTGCCTGCCTTGGGCCGCTGCCTGCCTGCCGTTCCAGCCTTGCCCCCTGCCCCCACAAGATTATAGCACCAGCACTGGCTGCCTGCAGGAAGAGGAGGAGAAAGCCCCCAGGCTCCTTGTTGATACAGCTTGTGGGAAAGCGCATGTGCTGCTATGGGGAAGGGAAGGAGTAGTGCACATGCTTCCTCACAAGCTGGATCTGGCACAGAGCCTGGGGGCTTTCCTTCGCCCACCTGCTTCCCACAGGCACTCAGGGCAGGTGCTATAATCTTGGGGGTGGGGCATGAGGCTAGAGTGGCAGGCAGGTGGCAGCCTAAGGCCACTGGGTCGTGGAGCATCAGGGCTCAGGAGGTAGAAGCAGGGCTGTAGGCAGGCTTCCACCACTGCCCCCGGGCCTCTTGCAGGGGAGCTGGGGCCAGTGGGGAGCCCAAGGTGCCCCCCAGGAGGGGCCAGGGGAAACCCCAGCCATGGCCACCCCTTCTCACTCTGCAGAGACTTGGGGGCAGGGCAATGCAGAGTGATGTGATTTCTTGTCATTTCACAGGAAAAAAATGTATATAGAGAGAAAGATACAAAGAAGCTTAAGTGTGTGTGTATATGCACGCACGCATGCGCACACTTCTGTTTCTGTAACTTCCACTCCAGTTCACCCAATGAAGTGGGTTTTACCCATGAAAGCTTAGGCCCTAATAAATCTGTTAGCCTCTAAGGTTCCACAGGATTCCTTGTTTTTGCAGATGCAGACTAATGCAGCTACCCTTCTGAGACTTTGTAAATTGAGATACATGCACACTGCTTTGTTTCAGATAGGCTTGCGTGGCAAGTTTTGCCTAATCAGGGCTCCATGGGTTTGAATATGTGCCGTTCAGGAGAACGTGTAACTTCACATATATTTGCTACACATATTTTACCCTGATATTACTGACTAGCAAATTACCAGTTTTCAAATGATACCTAGATACCTTTGTACAAGACATATTTTGTACAAAGACCATTACAGTAGTGTGTAGTGTCTGACAGAATTCATTGAGGGTGTGAATATAGGGGTGCATTCTATTGCATTAAAGCACCCCAGTTCTCTGGCTGAATACAAGCCAGCAGTGTACAGGCTGGGCAGGACTTCATAAATTAATGGCGATTGCCTGTCTCCTAGAGATAGAAGGGACCTTGAAAGGTTGTTGAGTCCAGTCCCCTGCCTTCACAGCAGGACCAAGTACCATCTCTGACAAACTTTTGCCCCAGATCCCTAAATGGCCTCCACAAGGATTAAACTCACAATCTTGGGTTTAGTAGGCCAATGCTCAAACCACTGAGCTATCCCTCCCCCTGTGGGTGAGCATTATGAATTGAGATCAAAGCATGGCAGCTGGGAGGTGTGTTCCCCATATGGGCAGACAGACTTGTACTGGCTTGGCTTGCGCTAGCATGGTACATGCAGCAGTGTGGGGATTGCAGTGTGAGGGGTGGCTCAGGCTAGATGCTGGAGCTCAGAATCGGGGAGTAGGGGGCGAGGTTAGTTTCAGGCAGTTAATCTGCTGCCGCTGGTCTCACAATGTCAGTGCCGCTATTTGTAGTGCACTAGTTTGAGCAGAGCTAGTGTAAGTCTATGTTGGGGCTGAGAATCACACCTCCCCGCTGTAGCTAAGACTTCTCCTCATTGGCCAAGGCTGTTTCTTCATCTGTTTCCAGCCTGTGCTCCTCATTCCTCAGGCATCAGTCAGAGTCGGCTCATCATCCCTGTATGTTTCGAAGAAGGAAAGCAGTCTTCATCCGTTCTCCCTAAAGAGCAGCACTAGGAGAAGGCCCTGGGTGTGCTGCCTAGCCCCACCCAGGGATCAGACCTGGCTGTGGTAGGATCCAGGCAGCAGATGCAGGAACCACGGCTATTGAAAGTTTGCGTGTCTGCATTGAGATGTACAGAGCTGTGATTTGGCCCACTCAGCTGGCTATGATGAAGTGGACATTTCTAGGGCATAGCCGTCATTAGGACAGATCTCAGTAAACTGCTTCACTCCTCTCAAACAAACCGTGTAACATTGCATTCTTTGCTGATTTTAGGTAGCGCAGAGACGACTGAGCCTGCATTAGTATCTTTGCACGTACCATGCTCTGAGGGGCCTGGAAAGTTGTTCTCACTAAATCTAAGTTTTAACGAATCCTAAGCCCTTGCAGGCCCATACACAGGAATTTTGGGAGGGGAGTGCTTTTTTTGTAAATGTGGACTGACAGAGTGTGAATGCACCCCCCCATGGTCCTCCAAGTAAGTGGGGAAATCAGCCCCAGCCTCCCCCCAGCTGGTCAGAGCACGGGAGAGGGAGGCTTGGGCCGTGTGCCACTCCTGCCTTCCCCATGCCAGCTGGAGCATGCTTACTTGGGGGACCAAGAGGTGCTTTCACACCCTTCGTGCGCACACCCCCCCCCCTCGCATATGGGCCTGCCTTGTTTCAAAGTGGCTTTGTGAATCCAGCAGAGTGGAGCCTGCCTGATGGCAGGGCATGACTGGGTGTGTGCAGAGGAGGGGGAGGGGAAGTCATTGCAAACTGCATTTAGAGCAAGGATAATACACAGAGCGCCAGGGAGCCTCAGCCCTTGGATTATCATAGGGACGCCGCAGGTTAAATATTTATAATTGTTCATAATGTCCTAATAAATGTTGTATACGTTCTAAGACTGGGAACATGGGAACTTGCTCCAGCCTGTGCAGCGGAGACTTTGCTGAGTGCCAAGGCTGGCTGCCTGGGCTGTTAGCAAGGGCCTTCTGTCTCGCTGTGCTAGACAGGTTCTGAAAATGTCCAGTGAAGCAACTGCTCTGTCCATCCAACCAGGCAGCGCAACGTGCCTCCTCACACCAAGGGCTCAGAAGCAGACCCTGCTCCCCATAGAGGACCACTCCCTTACTGCCTGGGTGAGGAATGGGCCCAGGGTCTGTTTCCCCTGTAGCATTGTTCAGTGAAATCACCTGACCTAGTGCATGTGTCCCTGGTGGGTTTGTTGCTCCTGCAGTGTATTTCGGCAGGTGGGGAGTCTTGGTGAAGCTCATTTTGGGGCCTGAGTCTGTTCTTACTGAGGTGTGTCTCTTCTGTCTGTCTCTGAAGGCAGAGGGTCCCCAGGACAGAAAGCTGAGCTGTCTCCAGGCTCAGAGTCGGAGCTGCACAGAGCTGCACAAGCACCTCACCTCCACTGCATGCTGCCCGCAGACCAAAGCCACCTGGCCCCCAGACGGGCACCAAGTCAGCGGCAGCAGCCACCCCCCTCTGAGTCACGCTGCACACAGTGGAGATGACAGTGACTCGAGCGAAGACTCACTGAGCTCCAATGAGGCCCCAGTCACGCCTCCCTCCTCCTCCAACGATGGCACCAGTGATCATTTGGCCAGCGAGAAGGCCATGCACACAGTGGTGAAGCTCATCCGCTACATGCATACTTACTGCCTTCCTCCACGGAAGCTGCCTCTCAGAGACCCTGCCGATGTGAAGCACCAGCACTGTAACAGCCCATACAAGAGAGCAAAGCCAGACTATCCTTCACAGACACTGCCCCTGGAGAGCCGGACATCCTGCACCTGGCAAACAGCAGCTGGCAGCAAGAAGCCTAGAGCCACTTGGCCAGAGTTCTCCATCCTGAAGGAGCTACTGGCCCGGGACCTGCTGTGTGATGTGAGCAAGCCGTACAGATTGGCCAAGCCCGTGTATGCTTCCTTGGTTAGGCCTCATAGCTCCAAGTCCCAAGGAGCATCTACTCAGGAGGCTGAGAGTTCTCCTGGGGGATGTAAGGCCAGAGCCAATATGCCTCTGGAGAAAGCGGAGCTCAGGCAAAGCCCCAAGGCTGAGTCTGAAGCCAAGAGAGAGACCAGCAGCCCAGAGGACGCCACTGGGAAGCATGCAGCTCTCTCCGCTCAGCAAGCCGTGGGAAAAGCGGGACGGAAGCAGGAGTGCGCTATTTATGCTGTCCGGCGCTCCAAGAGACTCAACCCCGAGCTCAGCCACTGGCTGTCCTTTCTTGACGAGCCTCCCCCAGAGCTGTCTGCCCCAGGGGAGGCAGCAGAGAGCCCGGTGAAGGATGCTCTCGCCTCCAGGGAGCCAGCGTTGTACCCAGACCTGGAGAACTTTGACACAGAAGAGCCTGCAACAGTTGTGGAGGTGGGCGGCACAGACGAGAGGGACAGCGGATGCCAGAACCACCCAACAGAGACCCAGACCCCTTGGCTGGGGAGCCCAGATGAGGGGGGAGGATGTGAGGTGGATGAGAGCCGGCGCTACACCCCATTGCATGAAACAGGTAAGGGAGGAGGGGCTGCAGGCGACTAGAGGCAAATTAACGCCAGCATTTACCTGGAAGTGACAAAACTAATGTCCAAAGGAGCTGCTGCTGGCTCCGTTCTTCTCAGGCTGTCAGTGCATGGGGGCTTAGCATAGGCTGAACTGGCATGCTGTGTGTTAGGCACTAGCCCTTTCTGCCAGACCTGTGCACTGGCTGGGCTGTGAGTCACTTGTAGCAGTGCCTGGCTGACATAGGAAGCCTTTGTGCATGTGCCTGTAAATGGCCGAGCACTGCGGACCCCATAGCCAATGAAGCAAATGCCAAATTTTTGCAGTGCTGTAGGGCCTTTTCTGTGTGGCTTGTGGGGTGCATAGTCTACTGGGCAGGGCTAGAGACCAGCTCTGTCAGTGAATCAATGTGACCTTGGGGAAGTTGCTGCCCTTCTCTGTGCCTCAGTTGCCCCATCTTTAACATGGAGTTAAGAACCTAGATCTTCCTTTGCAAAGTACCTTTTGCTCTATGGATGGAAAGCCCAGATGAGTGCCAAGCAGCATGTGTTCATCCAAAGCTGCTCTCTGCTGAGTGAATCTCAGCAAAACCATCGGTGAAGGATTTCTCCCCGCCACCCTTTCCATAGAATACTAGCCCTTCAGCTCAGGAGCAGAGCAGGCCAGACCTCCCCCTGGAGCCCCTTGTAGCACTGTTATTAGCAGCATCTTAGCATGGGCATGGGGAAAGAGATTTATAAACATTGTGTAATTAACCCTCACAATGCGTTGTCCATTTGGTAGATAAGGAAAGCAAATCAGAGAGGCAAAGTAACTTCCTCAGGCCACACTAGGTCCAGGTAACCATGCTAGGTCTAGAGCTCAGAGCTCCTGGCATCCAAGCCCCTACCTAATCTGCTAGCCCATGCTGCCTCCTTTTCCTGGGTGTGATACAATCAATCAGTGTGACGGGAATGCAGCCTGTTCAGTAATTCTGCTTCTCTCCGTATCTTTCAGAAACACCCACGTGTCTCACACTGTCCTTGGCACAAACGTAAGTGTAAAACAAAATACTTCCTAGCAGTAACAGTCGGGGCCAGCATGTCTGCAAAATGGCCTGTAGCGTTGCCTGTATGGACATGCATTTTAAATTTCAAAATTGTAGCCAGCCAGACTAAATTACAGAGCTTTGACCAATCAGGTGAAGAGGACGTACAGCAGGGAGAAGATGAGTTTGAAATGTAATGTCCTGGACTGGGTTCCTAAGTGCAAGCGATAGCATGGCTTCAGGTCCTCAGATTCAGGGCAGGTTATGCCAATGGATTTCTCTGCTGAAGGCCATAAAAGTGCCATATGGTGGAGCGAACGCAGAAGGGGTATCTCCCCTCTGGGTCCTTTTCTTTGATATAAGGACTTGTAGCTCTGGCTGGTTGGGAAACATTTTTGCTGGAGTGTCTCTCTAGCTACCTGTTCTTCTGTCTCAGCTGGGAAGGAAAATGGAAATGCTTCAGAGGCTTGGATTTTGCCCTCCCCCGCTGCATTATGTGTTCACCCTGAGGCCGCAAAGAGTTGGAGAGGGACAGAACAGGCATCCCATATGGGTTAGGTCTCTTCTTCCTGTTCCCCCTTTGGCTGGGGTCTCTGTGCTGCTCTTTCTCAGTCTCTGATGTTCATATAAACACCTCCCCCTTCCTCTAATTTTCTTTTTCTCTCCAGTGATCCTCCATTTGGGAAGCGGAACTTCGAGCAGGCGCTGACTGTGGAGCTATGTGGGACTGCAGGTAAGCCTTCCTTTGTTGTCTCGACTCTCTCAGGGTACATTGGGAGATGAGGGAAAAAATAACAAAAATTCAGGGTGGGATAGTCTGGTGCTACCTGCTTCTAGACGTGGTGGTAGCCCTCCTTGTTGGAGGAATTATTTAAACAAAGTAAATATAATGGATTTTACCAGTAAAAATTCAGATACAACTGATTCGTAGATCTCTGGGGTGGAACATAGTAGCTGTGGAGTGGCACACAGCAACAATTTCAGCCAGGCAGTGAGGAGGAATCCTGTATTGAACTGAAATGAAGGAAAATACAAGGTGCCAAACTCTACATCCTCCACTTGAATGTGGTCAGAATCCCAAGGATAAAGTTCCTGTTAATAGGAGTGTTTCCATTGGCTTTAGTGGGGGCAGCTGCCTTAAGCAGGCCTCAGATCATTGCTCCAAAAACTGCAATAGCCAGACTCACAACTTGTCTGCTGTTGCGGGCATTTGCAAGGGAGCTTTCCCTTCCAAGCATTGTCCAGGTCCAAATCTGCTTAGTTATCTAAATGAACTGATGCACAACCAGTACAGGCCACGCATACACTGGAACAAATGCATGGGCTAATTTTCAGAGGTGCAGAGTGCCTGCTAACCTCATTTGGCACGAGTGCCCAATTCCTCTGACAATCCAGTTAAAGGCCTTTCTCACCACTGTGTTTTGAGGAGGTTGCAGGAGGGAGATCCCATAGACTCCCCTAGCTGCCAACCACTTTGGTGTTGCAATGACCCCCTTCTGAAGACAGGAGGCTAGCAGTAATTAGCAGGGAGCCCCTTGCTACAGAGTAAATGTCTCCCAAGAGAGCCACCCAGACGTAGCTCCTTGTGCTATGGCCAGTTATGGTATTGCCTGAGGGGGAAAGCTCTGCTCAAAAAGTTTCACATTTGTGGTTTGTTGTGGGGGGGGTCAAGGTCTCACACCACCTACCACTCCGCCATACAAGCCTGCTGAGGAGGACCTGTATAAGCCGGACATTCCCCATGGGTCAGTGAAGGAAGAAGCCACCATCACCCCTTCCACTCCAGGTCCAAGAACCTTAGCAGTGGCAGTCGATGTGACTGCCTCCCGGAAACTCACGAAGAAGCACCCAGAGCGAACAGAGCTTTACGCTCATTTGAGCCGAGCGACCGTGCGCCCTTCCCCCTCGGAGCAGCAGGGGGTGCTGAAGCGGCCCTTTTCTCGCTCTTTTGGGGACCATGACTACTGCCAGGTGCTGAAACCTGAGGCCATGCTCCAGGGGAAAGTGCTGAAATCCTGGGAGCCCCAGAGCCACGTGGAGGGTGAGCACAAGAGAAGAGTGCCAGACGCACACTATCAGGAGTTGGGCCAGGCCACTAAGGAGGGGAAGGGTGAGGCTCCGTGGAAGGAGTGCAGCAAGCAGCTCAGAGACCAGGAGATCAGAGCCAGTTTAACTAAGCACTTCGGCTTCCTGGACTGCACCCTTGAAGATGAGGACACAGGCTTCTGCAAGACCCCTGAATACGACATTGTCTTTGAAGACAGCTGCAGTGAGAGCAGCTCCCCTGCGGAGGAGGAAGAGGAGGAAGAGGAAGAACATTGCGAGAGTCCGTTGGAGTCCAAGCTGTGCTTGCGCAGGAACCCACTTGCCAGGTCCAGCTTGCACCACTGTTCCCGGAGTAGATCCAGCTCTGGGTCTTCATGCTGCAGGTCCAGGTCTCCAGCAAACAGACGGACTTTCAGGTATAGTAGAGTGGCTGCCAGGTGGGGAGGGGTGGATCTGGTGAGTCCCAGCCTGCAAGCACATCTCAAGCAAAAGATGTTCTTGGGGATTTATACTAGGGGTATAAGAGAGGCAGGTGAATAGAGCACAAGCCTTAGCTCTGCCACCAGCTCCTTGTGTGCTCTTGAGCGAGTCACTTTTCCATCTCTGTGCCTCATTTTCTCCATCTGTCACATGAGGATACGTTTGTTTTCTTCTCAGAAGCACTGTGAGATACCAAAGAGCAGGCACTAGACATGCCAGGTAATATTCTTCTGTCAGGGTTCCAAACACAAGGACCCCAAAGTGAAGCTGAGGAGGTTCCCCCTACTCCCCAAGGTACATCCAAGCATTCAACCCCAAAGATCACACAGGGCTTAAGCTTCTGGCTTCATCCCTGACCACCCTACGGGGCAGAATTATGACTGAACACTTCCACAGAGCCCGAGCATGCAGAGCACCTAGTCCACGCATGGCACACGTGTACTGATCCGAGGCCCGTCCCACAGTCCAGCCCAACAGGGAGTTCTGATGAAATCGTCTTTATTTCTGAGTCCAACACAGTTTGTTTTAGTTCCTTAAAGTAAATGATAACACACCAATGGTGATAATACACTAGTGGATGCTTGATGTGGGTCAGTCAGACAAGGCTTGACCTGGCTGATGCTGGGTTTCTGGGGTGGTACAAAAAGGAAGGTCACAGCCAGAATTGGGGAGGAGCCAGGAGCTCCTTGGCAAGGGGAGAGCTACACGGAGGTAGTAGGAGCTAGTGAGCCACATCAAGTATCTGTGCAGAGTGATTTCCCTTGCAGCTTACGTCCCGAGCCAAGCCCAAGGAGGCTTGATTTGATCTGGGGAACCAGGCTCTTCTCTAGAGGGTCTGCACACCGAGTCAGCTCTGCAGGGGATTTAAAAAAAACTTGTCAGACACTGTCAACTTGCTTGTGCCGCCGTTCCCCTTGAACTGGCACAGCTCCCCCCGCAGGGTGGAACCCTTCTGGGCACTAAACGCCTGGTGCTTGCTTACACACAGATGCGAGTACAGCAAGCAGTGCCAAGGGGGAGACGCCAGCCGGGACCAGACTGAGAAGAGACGGGACAAGGCCATTGTAAGTGGCAGGCTGGGTGCCGTGCTGAGGAAGGTGGAGGCAGCGGGGCTTTCCGTGAGAGAGGAGCATCTTCATGCTGAAAGACATTCAAGTCTTGGGCAATTCATAGCCCCTCAGTTAATCTCCCACTCCAGTAGACTCCTCCACTGTCTCCTTTCTGGCCCTGGCTGTAGTATTGCTGGGTAGGGGACCAATTTTAAAAAGGGCATGGGGCACAGATAAAGAGGAAGCAGTTGACATTGGCAATATACAGTAGCCCTGGCACTGGAGGAATTCAGGGCATCCTATGTCCAGGGCTTCGGTGTCCTGAGAATTAGCAGTTAGGGCTGGGAGCGTAGAATTGCGACGAGAATGAGCTGAGCCTCACAGCTACACATAGGTGCCTGTAATGGTGGTAATTTGTTGCTCTTCTGCATTGCCTTGGACACCCCCACGCATCATGTCACTCACACACATCTCTGGCATTTTTTCCTCAACACGAGCTGAGTTCCACAGAGAGGAATGCTCAGTAACGTTCCCACGGTTACACTGCCCCATGGAGAAAGCCGCAAAGGGATGCAGTAGAAGGCAAAAAGAAAGAAAATGTGGATGAAAAGAGATCAGCTGTTTGAGGCTCCTCAAAGGGCTTTTTATGCAGAGGGGTCAGGTCTTAGCTTTACCTGGACTCAGAGATGTGGGGGTCCCTGGGAGTAGGGCCAGGGAGCGTCAGGGTGGCCTGGTAAGCGGTGAATCTGAGTTGTGTTGGTTGTGCTTGTGCAGAGCGAAGGCCGGGTGGTGCACATCAGAAACCTTTCCAGCAGCATGAGCTCCAGCGAACTGAAGAAACGCTTTGAAGTGTTTGGGGAGATCGTCGAGTGTCGGGTTCTGACCAGGAATAACAGGTGTGTTGAGAACCAGCTCCGTAGTTTAGCTTCTTGCAGTCGAACCTCTCGGATGTAGGGTGCTCGTCCAGCTGACTCATCCTCATCTTTGAGAGGGAAGAATGGGGATGGCCTCGAAACAGCCCAATCCCCTGGGCATACATCACATCCCAGTGCACACAGGGGTAAGCAGAGCTGTCTGTAAATTCCCTGTGGGGATGTGGAGCCAGTAGAACTGAGATACCCCTTAGGAGATAAGACTCATCATGTCCATCTCCCTGCTTAATCACCTCTGACTCTTCTCTTTGGCTGCCCAGGGGGGATAAATATGGTTTCATCACCTACCAGTGTTCGGAGCACGCCGCCTTATCGCTGAAGAACGGCGCCTCACTGAGGAAGAGGAATGAGCCCTCGTTCCAGCTGAGCTATGGTGGCAACGTGTGGACCAGATACACTGACTTGGGTGAGAGAACAGGCAGGCCCCACTGATGAGCCAGGCTCCCATTTCCTGAGGGCAGAGAGGGCACGTCTACACAGCAGGGCGAAAGCCGAAATAGGCTACACAACTTGAGCTACATCGATTGCATCGCTTAAATCTCAGTAACTCATTTCGGCTTTTGGCGCTGTCTACACAGCAGCGAGCCTGAGGTAGAGCACTCTTCCTCTGGCTTCCCTTACTCCTCGTCCAATGGGGATTACAGGAGTCAGAGTAAGAAGCCCTCCAGCTTGACATTTCGACATGTCGAAATAACTTCCTGTAGCATGGGCATGAACTATGTTATTTCGGACTGTGGGGACCTAGCTAGAGAGTTTTATGGCCCTCTGTGTATGCTGAGGCCCAGACCTCTCAAACGGGGCATTGTAGCTTGTCAGCTCAGTGTCCCACAGTAACGTCAGCCAGGAGACACCTGCCTTGTCCATGAAACACTTGGATCTGGATTCATTGTCCCAGTCAGGCTGCTCCTTAACAGGAATTTCTTCTAATAATGTGCCATAGGGGAGTGGCTTAATTGCTACAGCTGGGAGGTGCAGCAGCAATGGGTAATAACTGAACATCAGGAAGCAACAAGGAAAGTGCAGGGCTGCAAGCACACCTCTCCTGCGCTAGCCAGTAAGATGTGCTCAGTCTTCAGAGCAGAGGAGACAAGGTTCTGCACAATCCACACTCCAGCTGCTCCTGCCGAATGATACAGAGCTCCAGGCTACGGATGTTAAATTGCAGTTAATTTACTAGTTGAGTAGTTGATGGAATTTCCATTGACTACTCGACTAGTTGATAGGCATATCTGCATTCCTCCTGTGAAATGTACAAGAGCCCCCACTGGGTCTCTTGTACATTTCAAAGGAGGAATGTGGAACACCACATGCAGCCCAGGGCAGCGGGAAGTCCTGCTGGCTCCGAGCTGCACGCGGGCGTGCCATCTTTGAAATGTACAAGAAGGGGCTCTTGTGCATTTCAAAGCAAAAGCTGACTTTGGGCTCCATGTTGTGCAGCCAGTTTGAAATGCCGTGCGGAGCCCGGGATCAGATGGGGACTCCCTAGATGACTGCAGGTGCCACCAGCATTTCCCCAGAACCCAGGGTCAGCTGGGGACTCCCCAGCTGGTCTTGGGTTCCGCAGAAATGCCCCCAGAAAATGAGGAACACAGAGTAGCTATTTGTAAAAATCTGGATGTGCGTGACTAGCTCAGGTCACACAGGAATGCTGTGGCAGAGGCAGGGATACAATTCAGTTCTAGGTCAGCATTAATCTGCTTTAATCATAAAAACATCCAGTTTCTTCCTTCAGTCCCCGACCTCATTCACTGCACACCTTCTTTCTGTACCAAGTGAGGCAGGAGTTCTGGGGGACAGAGGTATTTCTTCGAGTGCTTGCTCATGTCCAGTCCACAGTAGGTGTGAGTGCTCCTAGGGAACCCATAGAGGAGTGCCTTTCACAGACCTTGCAGTGGCACCTCTCTGATGTGGTATAAGGGGCGCTGTGTGCTCCCACTACGCTCAGTTCCTTTTCTTGCCACCAGTGACAGTGCATCAGAACAGCTCTGCTCCAGCCTCATCTGTTGCTTCTCCCCATTAGTCTTATCTTAGCTGCTCCATGCCTCAGTTTCCCCATTTGTTAAATGGGGAAGTACCTGCCTTACAGGGGAGAGTGCCGATTAATTATTCACTTATGTGATGTGCTTTGTAAGTTTTAAGTACTATTAAGTGGCTACACAGTTCTTCAAAGAGAAGCAGGATTCAGTGTTTTGCAGTCCTAGCTGATGTCCTGCACCCCTGACTAGCTCATACTCTGTCTCTGCCTTTAACAGATTCCAATACGGAGGAGTCATCCCCGGCTCCCTTGAAAAGCAAGTATGAGACCATGGATTTTGACAGCTTGCTGCAGGAGGCCCAGCGAAGCCTGCATCGATAACAGCCTTAACCTTGGAGGAACACCTCAATACCTCAGTCAAGGCACTTCCAATATGTTTACGTTTTCAAAGAAATGATTAAGTATATGAAAAAAGCGCGAGAGAGATAGACTGCTGTCCCTTTAAATTGATGTTTACATTGAACAAAGCTGCTTCTGTCTGTGAGTCCCCATGGTGTTGATGTTCCACTGCCACACGTTAGTATCCTTGCTTCTGACTGGTTGTTTTGGAGTGACCCTGTAAGCCTTCAGTTCCCTCCTTCCACCTTCCCTGGGTTCCCCACCATCCACCCACGCTCCAGTAGTGGAGGTGCAGCTGTGTTCACCATAACATTTTTTGTCTGTAGTGCGTGATGATAAAACTGTTAATTGTGAATAGAATCAGGATTATAAACTAATTTTTAATAGAAGAAAAAAGTATATACTTAAAATGTATTTATGGCTCAGATGTACTGTAATTCAGATTTATTGTATCGCTTCCTTGATTTTTAACTATGCACTGTAATGAGGCATTAGCCACTCAGCAGATGGGGGTCAGTCTGAGGGGGCACCTTGGATTAAGCACTGCACCAGAGTTGGCCTCCTCAGCTGTGAAGTGAGCCAGTCCAGGAGAACTGGAACAGGACAGGGTTAGTGTTTGGCACTTGTAAAAGCCATTCTTCCTGCTTGTGTGGCTGGAAGTCCTGGGCCTTCAGCTCTCAATCTCGAGCTGCCTGAGGCTGAACATGCTGGAACGTGATGGCTTGGCCCTGGCTGGTTTGGAAATGGCACTGTGGTACAGTGGTGCGGTACTGTGGGATCAGGGAAAGGGTGTAGCATTAGAAAACTATCAAATTAGGCACTGTGGGAGTTAATCTCTGCAGGCCCTGTTGGCGGTAGAATCAGGCACCATTCAGTGAAGCTACTGTCCAGCCTTAGAGCCTGGAAGAGTGAGCGCTAAAAGACCAAGAAGAGCCATCTTCCGAAGGAGCATGCCAAGGGTTCGTCCCGATACACATCGGGCACACTGGTCCTGCAGTACCTGAGGGTCACATCTCCACTTAACTTCTGTGTGATACTGCTAGGCTCTCCCTCCGCTGGCTGGCTCAGCTGGAGCAAAGTCACTTGCTAGGTGCATCGTGCATAGCTGCTTCCACAATGTGCAGGGGAACTGGGTGAGAAAATTCCCCTTTCACTCAGACTGGCAGCTAAATTGAACACCTGTGCCCCATGCAGTGTGCCGCCCTGCCTTTGAGTGGTGTCTGATAAGCCATAGACCTAAGCAGTCCCACTAGGTAGTTAGCAAACCCGATCTCCCTATTGGCCCCTTGTGGCTATCAATGTCTCTCTCCATTTCCGCAGGCCAAGCTCCTGACTGGCAGAGCGCTGGCGCTGGAGACACTGCAGCCCTGCTGTGAGCATTGCCTGTTGCTGTCACCCCAGTGCCGGCTGAGCAGCACTAACTCTGGCCTGTCTCGTGCTGGTCCCCAGAAAGCCCCAAACACAGGGTCCTTACAAAGACAGTCAGAGGTGCTGGGTTTAAGGCGCACAATTGGTATGGCCAACAGCAGCACCATAGAATGGACCTGCAAACTTGAAAGCCATTCCACGTCTGGGCAGGGGAGAAACTGGGCACTCAGAGGAAAAAACAGTGAAGAGACAGTGTTTAACAGTGGGGACCAAACAACCCGGCTGACGTCACAAACTGCCCCCATGTTTTCAGTTTGTTTTTCACACATGGTGAGACCACAGGGATTGAGCCATCCCCTGTAGATAGAATAATAGCCTTAAATTCTGCCAATAGAATTAGATTCCCTTACGGTCTCCCCTAGTACATGGCACTAACATATTGTAATGGTGTTACTTCCTTATACAGGATATGCATAACCAAAAACTCAGTCATCACACAGGACTGGATTCTAAGATCCTAATTCATGATGAATTGTACCATGCTGCATAGACACCAGCAGTACCACTTGTGATGTGAGGAACTATCCAAAGAGGGAAGGGTGCTGGAATTTGGCTCTGTGTCACCAGACTATTATTTGATTTCTCATGTTTTCTCATGTGGAGCTCAGGGTTCTAAAAACTTTCAGTTACATGGTAATTACCTATGAGCTACCAGTGAATTGAACTACACTTCCCAAAACCTTCATTAATGGGTTGATTGCTGAGCACTTACATGATATATTCCTTACGCAATTTCATCTTGTTCAAGAGTAGTTACTTAATTGTGTCCCTACTGTAAAATAGGGTCATGAGCTTCTCCTCTGCTCCTCATCCCAATCTAAATTACACAAGTAACTCTGGCCTAGACTGAGCGTCTGCTATTGGCAATCGCCTCATTGTAGCTTTGCCTTTTTCTGTCCTAGTATTTCCTCACAACAATGATGTTTACATGTGATTGCTATAGAGCTTACTGTAGACTGTATATAGCGACACATTTAGGGTGGGTAGTACTGTCCTATGCTGTGCTGATGTTTTTCAGAAAATGATTAATCAAAACCAGTAAGTGTAATTCTTCCATCTCCTTGCTCAAAACAAGGATGGATCAAAGCTCCCAATGCTGGCTTTGGTCAGAGATGGAAAATGCATCAAACGTTAAGAATGTGAAAGGGTTGAATGTTCTAAGAACTTCCTGGGCCCTCGCTTGTTTCACAAACTTTGATTTCAGTACACCCAGTTTTAAACCTCATATTGCTTTGATGAGACTGGAGTTCCCGTGTTGGCCATTGGCCAATGACAATTACGGAATTTCAGCATATCAAGTGAGATAATACTCTTGAAGAGCAAGGAAGCTCCCATGATGCACAGAGCCAATCAGTACTGCAATCCTAGGATAGGAAGAGATGCAATAAGTGATCTTCATGTTGCCTGAAGCCTATAAACTATTTTTGCAAGAAACATCTCCAGGACTTATGCAATATGCACTCAGGTGCACAAACGTACACACCTATGGTTAAGACCGAGGCTGGGCAATGAGCTCCTGTTGGTGCCACTGTACACAGTGTACACATACACAGTGAATCCAGTGATGCTGAATGTAAAGCCGGAGGGGGCTGTGGTTTGGAATGTATGCAGCTTATGCTGGTTAACTCAGACCTGTACCTGTGGCTTCTCTTAGTAGCTGCCAGGGCTGGGTGTTCATCCTGAGATGCAAAGCCATGAATATTCACTTTGTTTATGTCACTCATGCTAGATCTCGTGCAAAAATTATAGCCTCTCAGCTTAGGGGATTTTTTAAGTCCCCCTTGGCTTGCAGTGCTACAATCTGCAGCAGGAGACTCTAGGGGAGGAGTCACATGGCACAGAGCACTGGCTGGGAATGACTCTGCGAATGGAGTGTGGATCCTTACCTGGCCTTGGGAGGGCAGAGCCCAGCCACAATCGAAGAGTGGAGTTTGATTCCTAGTATGCTGCAGATCCAGGCTCAGTCCAGAGAGGTGCTGAAGTCACCCAGATTTGAGGGAACCTCTTTAGCTTGAAGGACTGGGTCCTACATTTGGGCAAGGGTTATTCTGAGAACGTGTTGTCCCCTTGAGAGGAGGCAAACGGCAGTCAGAAGGGAACAGCTTTAAGTCCCATGGAGCCTGCTCTGAATGGAGAGGGAGAGAGTCCCTGGGGGTCTGACAACATTCTCCTGAGCAGAGTCATAGCAGGGAGGTGAGGGCGCATTCACCGGTGCCCCTCCTCCTGTACAGAGTGGTACAGTGCACACCAGCCAAGGAAGGGACTCCTCCCTGGCAGTGCCCAACCTGCTCTGGGCACAGTCCCACATTTTAAAAGGATATTCTCCCACTTTAACCCACGTTTCAGGGTCTATGTATCTCTCCCCACAAACCCAGTAATAACTACAGTGCCAGCAATAATGCTAGCCATAATGCCAACAAGCGGAAGAAGCCATGCAGCTCTGAGGCAAGCAGGGATTTATATAAGGAAAGAATTTAGTTTCTGGATTAGGATGGGAGTAAAAATGGTGTGTTATAATAGGTAATCAGCAAGGGGCATTTATTTTTTTAATTATAGATACATATAGATGTATATATATGTACACACAAAGAAAAATCCCTTGATGGTTTCCTTTTGCTATACGGCACAAAACCTGATCTGAAGAGTAAATGATAAAGCCCATGTCACCTGTCTTCATCCATTGACCCATTACATCTCATTGTTTTGCATGGGATGCAGTTCTCTGGCAAAATCTAATGTATTCCCATGAGTCCTCAAACTGATGATTGTTTCTGAATGTCTGGACTGGTGAGGGACAGCTGGGGAATGCAGGGTTTTAGAGCTGATAGTGCCCATGGAAAATATTTATCCCCAGTTCCTTCTAAGTGCAACTTTGAGCTGTATTACCTGCACAAAGCCACAGCTCAGATCCTTAGGTTGCAGTGTTAGCATTAGATTTCTGTACTGGCCCACGTAAAGATGATTTACAGGACCAGCTTTATTTTTGTGTGTGTGTGTGTGTGTGTGTGTGTGTGTGTGTGTGGAGGGGGAAGGGCTGCATTAATTTTCCTTTTGGAAATCTGTTGAATTCTTAATATATCATTCTCTGTAGCTGAGCCTTTAAATCCTTTTGTTCTTGACATGATAGTCCATCCTTGACAATCTTGAGTAATACAGAACCAAATAAAGCTTTTGGGTTTCCATTGCTCTTCCTATGTAGATTCTGTAATCAGGTGTGGCTTAGAAAGTCTACTTGTAATACACCAGGTGGTGCTGCAAGGGGCATTATTTATCCGAGAACTGAACAAAGTTAATTTAATAATTGGGTGGATGTATGTGTGTGTATGTGTGAGCGAGAGAAAGATTAAATTGATGCATTTCTTGAGAAAGGTGTAAGAATTTCACCTAAAAAGGGGCACATCTCCTTTGTTGTTTATAATAAAAGCTTAAATTCTACTTTTTTTTTTAAAGGACACTGCTAATAACTCTAAGGGTTCAGTTCTGCCATCCTTGCTCATACTGAGTAAATAATGCCTTACTCTTAGAGTAAGTAGAAAGCAGAATTGATCCCTTTGTGATTAGGAATCAAATTTTTAGTTGGCTGCATTTTTTTTTGTTTTAAATTGGTAGAGGTTTTTTATATTTCACTTAATTTCTCTCCCAGTTATGTTCCGTTGTGTCCTTATTTATATAATATACTTTAACCTTAAAGATGGCATGAATTCTTATGCCTTTCCTTTATTATTGTTTTTAAAAAGAGATTTATTTCTAGTGTGATTTAACTGTCTAAACGAGAGAACGTTTTCTTGTATTTTTACATTGTCAGATTCTATAGTTTCATAGATAATTTAACCAAATCGCTCAATGTATTATCTATATCTATCTGGTGGGTATAAAAGTTCTATTTTAAATTGTGTAAATACTTCAGAACTGGCTTCTTTTTCCAGACTCCCCCTGCTGTGGAGTTACTTGTTTACATCACAAAGACTGTAGAATCTCTACGCTCATGTACTGTAAATAGTGAAGTGATCTGCCTATAAATAAACTATAACAAATACACTATAAAGTAAAGAAAATCTCTTTGGTGATAATGCTTCAATTTATTAGTACAAACACATTTATACATGTTTAGGAAGGAGGTAGCTTCTGTGGCAAAGAAATGCTTTCCTCCACTCTGAGGCTTTCAATGAGTACAAAGCAAAATATATGTCCTTCCACAAATAGGTTTTTCCCATGGCCATCCACTCATTTTAGGATTTGAGTATTTGCAGTTAAAGTAAGTGATACAGATAATTCCTTTCACTTGGTTTTGCCATTGGAAGGAATTGTATATTCTGCCAAGAGTGGTTCTTTGTGGAGTCGACTGGTTTTTGTGGCTTATTACCTTTTGTTGCACTCCTTTAAAGTGGGGGTTTAAACTAATTTAGTTATGAACCAGGGCAAGCCACTGTGTAAGAGTTCCTTATTTCAGATTAGCTGAATCTATTTTATTTGCTGCTTTAAGCTACATCAAAATAAGCCATGCTAGATCTGAGTGTGGCCTTTTACTGGTTTAAGACACCTTGGCAGCGTTCACAGCACAGATGCCCTGCTGCTGCTTGTTCCATGGGCTTTGATTGGTCAGGATGTCACATGAACACATTTCACTACCACGAGATTATCTATGATTTCGTAAGAAACAGTTGAACATGCCAGTAACAGGATAGAGAATAACCCCCTCCCCAACAAAGACTCCAGCTGGTGCATGTGTTTTTGCACTAATAGAGGGGAAAGGGAAATGTCACAATAAGAATGGGAAATACCTGGAGCTTATGCAATATTTAATATTCACATTAACCTCATTTTCTACACACTCACAGCACTGTGAACCAGGAGTAGCCCCGTGAAGTCAATGCAGCTGGAACCAGTGTGAGGTCAGGATCAGACCCTTTATGACTAAGTGTAACCCACATTCCTAGTGTGGTTCTCTGTCCCATGCACTGGCACTTAGACCACTTACAGCAAGAGATAAGAACAAGAGAGCCCTACAGCTTAAGCTGAGAGCTAGCTGGCTTAGTAGCTCAAGGTATAGATGCTCTTATACTAAGCTCCCAGGGTCCCAAGTTCAAATCCATATAGTGGCAGTTACATAAGCACCTGGCCTGCATGTATGCTGTGGAGTCTTCCTGACTCCCATGAGTGTATGGTGTTGCTCTACTTTCAGGCCTGCAGCACTGGACCTGCCCATGCTGCCTTCAATGCAGTTATCTCTGTGAAGAAAACCCCTGTCCCATAAGAGGCTGTATAGGACACCAAAACTTCTCAGGGCAGGCCTGCTCATAAGCCTTCCTCTGCAACAGTGTGAGCAAGCAACTGGACCTTCTGGATAGCTGATGTTCTTTTGGACCAAGAGGGCTGGCATCATATGCACACACTTAAGCATCCCAAGGGAAAAATAGGAATTGATCAACCACCTCCAGCCACAGTGTGTCCATGGGGATTGGCTACCGATCAGCTGTTTAGCAGGGCCCCTGGTTTGGCCCCCGATCAATACTAAAAGCTTTTCCATCTCTACATGGTTTCTCACATCTTTTCTGGGTTTTTCAACAGTGCATGAACTCAACTGTTTAGAAACCACCAGCAATCCTGTGGCACCTTAAAGACTTACAAATATTATAGCATAAGTTTTTGTGGGTAAAATCCACTTAACCAGATGAGTTGGAGTGGAAATTACAGAATCCAGACTATATAGAACAGCAAAAAATAGTTACCTGTTAATTGTAGGACCTATGTTAATGATGCTGAGTCAGGCTGGATATATCCCATTCATAGCTTTTGATGTGTAAATGTGAATATCAAAGGCAGGGGAAATTGTCTTTGTAGTATGTTAACCAGTTAATATCTGTGTTCAAGCCCAAGTTGTGAGTGTCAAATTTGTAAACGAATTCCAGTTTAGCAGTCTCCATCTGTAATTGAGTGATAAAATTCCTTTGTAGAAGAATGGTTAATTTTAAATTATTGTGGGGCACACATAGAATCCTGAAGGGCCACATGTGACCCATGGCTGGGCACTGGAGAGCTGCCTCAATAGACTTGTGAAGGAGCTCTTCTTTTATCTCCTCAGCCCTCTCATTTTCCCTGCAGTCTTGCATGCAGAAAGACAAGAATCATAGGGCTGAAAGAGACCTGAGGAGATCAAGTCCAGCCACCTGCCCAAAGTAAAACCAACCAATCCCAACTAAATCATCCCAGCCAGAGCTTTGTCAAGCTGAGACTTAAAAACCTCTAGGGATGGAGATTCCACCACCTCCATAGGTAACCCATCCCAGTACTTTCCCACCTGCCTAGTGAAATAGTTTTTCCTAATAGCCAACCTAAACTTCTCCCACTATAACTTTGGGCTAAATGAAATAAAGAACATTGCATGCTCAGGCCAGCCAGGCCTCGCTCGGGAAAAGTTACTCTTCCTCTAGTGCAGGTTATTTTTAGTCTGCTTTTCTCTTTGCACAATGAAGACTTCTGCTGTGTGTGTTTTCAAACACACCTCACTTATACCTCCACGTCCCATCAGCCCTGTTAGTCACATTCAGCAGTGTCAGAGAGAGACAATAAAACAGCACAACTGACATAAAGAAAAAGGCCAATGTGTTTGCTTGGGGGAGGAGCAGGAGCCAGAGAACACAGAGCTCAGAGGGCGGGTTGCTTTGGATGGCCTGTAAGGGTAGAGGGGAGGTCCTTACAGACTTTGGGCTGGTTTTGCTCTTGTCTTCCTGTCTGCATGAGTCTGTAGTTGGTAACTTGGCCCTACACCCAGAAGCTTCCTGATTAGTTTCAATTCTTGCAGGCTGACTAGTGTGCTGTCTCTGAAGCCATGGCAGAGGCAGAGGAAGAATTCCCAAGCACCTGCTGATCTGGCAGATGAGCTCAAATGCCCAATCTGTCTGGTCTTCTACAGTAACTCTGTCTCCCTGAGCTGCCATCACAGCTTCTGCAAGGAGTGCATTCAAAAAATCCAGGGTGCCCAGCAGCAAGCCAAGGCCACCTACTCCTGCCTTATCTGCAGAGTCCATCTGGGGCCCTTTCTGAAGCTGTATAAGAGCTTCCAGCTCAGCAGCACAAGGGAGAGGTTCCTGGCCACCTCTTCCATGGGAAAGCAGGGGAAGGAGAAGATGATCCCCTGTGATTGCTGCCTGGAGCAGCCTCAAAGAGCAGCAAAAACCTTTCTGACTTGTGAGGTCGCTCTGTGTCTGAACAAACATGATGCCAAGGCTGTACAGAAGAACCACATCCTGTTAGAACCCAGGGACCACAACTCCCTGCAGGAGAGGAAGCATGGCGAGCTGCTGGAGACAGCACTGCTGCAAAGATGACTTGGTCTTAGTCCACATGATGTGCTCTACCACAGGCTCCCACAAGGGCCATCGATCATCACCCTGAAGGAGGAGTATGACAAGGAGCTAGTAGGGGGCTTTCTGCATCTCTGCTTTATGGGCACCAATTCCAATGGGGATCTTTCTGTACTGTCCCTTACAGAGCTAGGTCATTCAGGACAGGAGGTCTCAGAGGAGTGGTGACTCATAAACTGGTCTCAGTGTTCACCCCTAAAAGTGAGACAACTAGTATCCTAGGGGTGGGGATTGCCCTTGATTGATCCTTTGTAATGCTGTGTCAGACTCAAAGGCAGGAGGTAGACTTCAGTTCAAGCAATTTGTAAAGATCAGTCCACTGCAGGCCCACATGGACACTGCAGGAGTGCAGGGAAAGTCCTGCAGTGACGCACACTGAATATTGAAGCTGTGATACATTTAGCTGCCTTCCAGGACATGGCTGCATGCCAGTCTAGTGTGCAGTCGATTCACAGCTTGGTGTGCTGTGCCATAATTCGCAGTGCAGATCAGTTCTTAGATAGGTTCTTAGACAGATATCCATGATTGCTACGTATGTTCGGATCCTGCAAATATTCGCCTGTTCGCCTGAAGTTACATACATGCACAAGTGGTTGCAGGGTCAGGTATTAACTGATAAGCTAAACTTGTACAACTTCTCTTTTTAACCTGCCTAATGAATATGGGACTGTCCATTTGTTCTGTGTTTGTACCGCACCTCGCACAATGGGTTGTGGTCTGTAAGCAGGGCTCCTGCGTGCTTTGATAACACAAATTATCTAATCTATCTAGCTAGCGAGCTGTGGTAAAATTAAAATTAGTTCTGACTTGGGATTCCAAGAATGTTTCCATTTTTTCAACTGATCCATGGCCTCACATCTTACAAGGAAGATTGGTGGGAGGCAAGAAGCACACAACCTATTCTATGACTCACTTGAAACAAATGGGTGCACATATGCTGTGAGAGAGGATCTATAAAAGAGTCACTTGTTCATTTCACTATCTCTATGAAAGTGCCTTTCTCTTATGAAAGCATCAGTGTTACTTTCCCGTTATAATCTTAATGCTGTTTTTCCTTTAAGTAGGTTGTTCTCTCTCAAACTGTGAAACTGATGTAGGAAAACAAAAGTGTCATGATTAAAACCTTCAGGAGAGTGAGAATCAGCTCCAGGTTTGACCCTGGGTTAGTCAAAGCATCTTTCGTCGATGACTTGTAAGAAAACAATGATGGCATCTCTGATCACTGTTCTCTAGCAATCCCTCCTGACTGATCAAGCTGTGAAGAGTTCAGAATAATAATAAATAATAAACCTGTAGCAATAATACCTCAGTATGGGGCCCTACAGTCCCTAACAGTCATGTGACTGCAACTTAAAAAACAACAATCATTAATGCGTAGAAAAATGGCAGAGGAACAGAATGTTTGTTTGCATTCCATCATGTCTGTCTCACAGATCTCAGAATACACTGGGACTGAATGTGTCACCTTAATTCACATTCATGAATTTACTCATGTAAGTCGTTCCACTGAAGAAATCGATAATTAATTTTCACAAAGCTCCCACTGTCAGTTAGCTGATTTTTATTATACTTATGCCCATTTTACAAATGAACTAACTAAAGAACAGAGCAGCCTTAGGCAAAAGCATACAACCAGTCAGGTCTAGAACCTATCAGTCTGTCTCCCAGCTCCTTTGCCAAA